AGACTGAGTTGCAAAGCACAATAGAACTACGTGCAATGGCATCCGAAATTGCAGCTCCAAAACCGAGATCTCGACGCCAAAGCGACAAAAAGACGATTTTGAAGCACTTTTTAAAAGGAATTTTAAAAGGACAATTATTAGCGCCAAAATTGAGAAAATCTGCTGACAAATCACTTTCGCAGCCTTGATGCAGCCATTCCAATACGATTTACGATCTTCAGAATCTTCAGCTGCAAAAGACAATAGTATTACGCATGCAGCCGCTGCACCAAGCAACCTTGACGCAGCCACTGCAATGCGATCTGCAGAGACTGAGTTGCAAAACACAATAGAACTACGTGCAACGGCGTCGGAAATTGCAGCTCCAAAACCAGATCTCGACGCCAAAGCGACAAAAAGACGATTTTGAAGCACTTTTTAAAAGGAATTTTAAAAGGAAAATTATTAGCGCCAAAATTGAGAAAATCTGCTGACAATTCACTTTCGCAGCCTTGATGCAGCCATTCCAATACGATTTACGATCTTCAGCTGCAAAAGACAATAGTATTACGCATGCAGCCGCTGCACCAAGCAACCTTGACGCAGCCACTACAATGCGATCTGCAGAGACTGAGTTGCAAAGCACAATAGAACTACGTGCAATGGCATCCGAAATTGCAGCTCCAAAACCGAGATCTCGACGCCAAAGCGACAAAAAGACGATTTTGAAGCACTTTTTAAAAGAAATTTTAAAAGGACAATTATTAGCGCCAAAATTGAGAATATCTGCTGACAAATCACTTTCGCAGCCTTGATGCAGCCATTCCAATACGATTAAGGATCTTCAGCTGCAAAAGACAATAGTATTATGCATGCAGCCGCTGCACCAAGCAACCTTGACGCAGCCACTACAATGCGTTTCGCAGCATCCCGTAGAAAACCTGCACCTATCTACGGACGTGGCAACACCAAATGACAACAATCATGCAGCCATTCCAATGCGATCTGCCACCACAGCTTCAAGAAACGCATAGAACTACGCACACAGGAACAACCACTCGTTGCAAAACACATAGGAGGAACAATTCGCGACAGAAACGGCCGCAGCCGCACCCGCCACACAGACGAGGTACCTTTCATCGCCGGCTGCAGCCACTTTACACGGAAAAACACAAGGTTTCGTGCTCCGGCTTCCTCCCCACAACATGGCCCATGCAACATTCATGCAGCCATTACACTGCGTTTCGCAGCATCCCGTAGAAAACCTGCACCTATCTACGGACGTGGCAACACCAAATGACAACAATCATGCAGCCATTCCAATGCGATCTGCCACCACAGCTTCAAGAAACGCATAGAACTTCGCACACAGGAACAACCACTCGTTGCAAAACACATAGAAACGACCGCAGCTGCACCCGCCGCACAGACGAGGTACCTTTCATCGCCGGCTGCAGCCACTTTACACGGAAAAACAGAAGGTTTCGTGCTCCGGCTTCCTCCCCACAACATAGCCCATGCAACATTCATGCAGCCATTACACTGCGTTTCGCAGCATCCCGTAGCAAACCTGCACCTATCTACGAACGTGGCAACACCAAATGACAACAATCATGCAGCCATTCCAATGCAATCTGCCACCACAGCTTCAAGAAACGCATAGAACTACGCACACAGGAACAACCACTCGTTGCAAAACACATAGGAGGAACAATTCGCGACAGAAACGACCCCAGCCGCACCCGTCGCACAGACGAGGTACCTTTCATCGCCGGCTGCAGCCACTTTACACGGAAAAACACAAGGTTTCGTGCTCCGGCTTCCTCCCCAAAACATAGCCCATGCAACATTCATGCAGCCATTACAATGCAATCTGCAACCAGAGATTCAAGAACCGAATAGAACTATGCACACAGCTTCAAGAACTACATCACGACTTCCCATCGTCCACACCTCCCTTCCTCACCACTCCCCTTCATTATCACTTCCCTTCGTCACCACTTCCCTTCCTCAACACTTCCCCTTCATTATCACTTCCCTTCGTCACCACTCCCCTTCATCACCACTTCCCATCGTCCCCACCTCCCTTCGTCACCACTCCCCTTCATCACCACTTCCCTTCGTCACCACTTCCCTTTCTCAACACTTCCCATCGTCCCCACCTCCCTTCGTCACCATTCCCCTTCATCACCACTTCCCATCGTAATCACATCCCTTCGTTACCACCCTGTGTCATAGAGCTTCTTATGCTTTTGTTATGTATTCTTATGTGATCTATTATGTGATCTACCACCCATCATCAAGGTCAATTCCATAGCTTCTTATTCTTTTGTTATGTATTGTTAGATTATGTATTGTTCTGTGATCTACCACCCTTCATCATAGTCAATTGCATCAAGTAAAAGTCATTCGTAACTCGGAAGTATTGCTTCCCAACTTCCTTTGATAATAAATGTACCTATAAGTGTACCAATAATAACCTACAATATGGCATGTTCAATATGGCTATCACGTACCTATAATAGCCATTAATAGCCGATAATTTATTTTGAACCCCTTTGGTTACTGTACTTTATGTTTTCCCGTTAATTGAAAAAAATGGCAAGAATGGCGGTAAATTGCTGCCAAAAGTTGTGTTCCTGACCTGGCTCACAGCCTGCCAAGATTTTCCTCGCCTCGTCCGATTCCTCCAAGATTTCCCACAACCAGCCTGCCAGGTCAAACCAGAAAATGGCGCCTGGCTACCCGATAAATTCCCTATTTCAAACATCCAAATTGGAGATGCGAACAATTGTATCGCCCAGTATATCCCAGTTCATCTGCAACCCAATCCCCATTTTAAATACATTGACCGGTCCATTTTCCCAATAAAAAACAACAATTGATCCATTTTCCCAATTAAAAAACACATTTTTTCCATCTGAAGCCTGAAACCAGCGAAAACAGTTCCGCTTGACGGCTTCCAGGCAACAAGCCCCGCCTGCTTGCGTCTGCACCTCATGGCTCACAGTAGCAACCTGCGGCCGGCGCGTAGCGAATAGATGTGCCATTGCATATACAAATGATGACAAATGTAGGAAATTAAACAAATGAAATAAATGAAACGGAATGGAATGGAATGGAATGGAATCGAATGGAATGGAATGGAATGAAACGGAATGGAATGGAATGGAATGGAATGAAACGGAATGGAATGGAATGGAATGGAAGTATGTATGCAACGCAACGCAACGCAACGCAACGCAACGCAATGCAATGCAATGCAATGCAAAGCACGCGAATGGATGGCAAGGCAATGCTATGTGATGTGATTATGATGTGCACGTGCATGTAATTCATGTACATGAGCAGTGCTCAAAATCCATCTATCATTCCATGTAATCCTGGTTGTTTTTTTTGGGATTCCTCTCTTGGATTATTGTAATCCCCAATATTAATCCCCGAACTAATCATCAACCAACAGGGGTTTACCGTAGATGTAGATGGCCTCTGTCCAGCGTCGCACATCCGCATCGCTCACCCCACTGCCCGCCCATATCCGGACCAACCTTGGCCCCGGAACAGCCAAGCCATGACTAAAACTGATTTGATAAGTAACCTATTGTGCATGCTGTGTATGTAATATTGTGGAATTATCTTCCATATAATCCGCCGACCCCAGCCGACAGCAGGGGGAGCGCGTCAGAGAAGAGGGGCATGACACAAGCCATGAGGCCAGCATTCGACACTTGCACGGGCACATGCACCAGAGCCTGGCAGCTGCATTTGAAGCTCACTTCTTCTCTGTGCAGAAAGCGACGTTAGGCACTGGAGTCTCCCAGCGGAGCTTGATCCGTCCTTCAAGGGCTTCAGGGTAAGGCTCTGCGAGGCACGCGTTTTCCGAGCCGACCCCGCCGACGGCAAGGGGGACCGCGCCAGAGAAGACATTACCATCAGCCAGGGGCAAGAAATGATGAGAGCAAGAGTCGAGGGATCAAACAAAATCAGGCAGCAAGCGCACGAAGGGAAAGCAAGAAGGGCCAGAAGCAAGAGCAAGAAGGCAGGAGAAAGCAGCGGCAAAAGTAAAAGGACAGCTAGTGTCTTGCAAAAGCATCAGAGAAGACTCATTACCATCAGCCGGGGGCAAGAAATGATGAGAGCAAGAGTTGACGGATCAAACAAAATCAGGCAGCAAGCGCGCGAAGGGAAAGCAAGAAGGGCCAGAAGCAAGAGCAAGAAGGCAGGAGAAAGCAGCGGCAAAAGCAACAGAAAAAGACAGCTAGTCACAGCTAGTCAGCTAGTTTCTTGTAGCCGCAGAAAGCAACGTGAGGCGGGCAAGAAGGCAGGAGAAAGCAGCGGCCCAGGAGGAGGGTCCTTGGACCGGAGCTGTGCAGAACGAAAGCCAGCTGCAGGAGGACACGAGATGACACGAGCAAGTTGGCAGTTGGTAGTGCAGAAGGGCAGGCAAAGCCAAGGTTTGAAGCAAGTTTGCTGTGCACAACGAAAGCCAGCTGCAGGAGGACACGAGCAAGTTGGCAGTTGGCAGTGCAGAAGGGCAGGCAAAGTCAAGGTTTGGAGCTAGCTTCTAGTCGGTTCAGAAAGTGGCGTTTCGCAGTCTGGGCTACGGGCCGCGCGCCAGATCCGTCCTTCACTGCCATGATGTTTTAGCCGTGCGAGAGCTGCGCAAGAAGAAGGCTACAAGCTGGCAGCCAGCAGTGCAGGAAGGCAAGCAAATTGATCAAATTGAAGGTTTGAAGCAGAAAGCAACGTGAGGCGGGCAAGAAGGCAGGAGAAAGCAGCGGCCCAGCGGGAGGGTCCTTGGACCGGAGCTGTGCAGAACGAAAGCCAGCTGCAGGAGGACACGAGCAAGTTGGCAGTTGGCAGCGCATAAGGGCAGGCAGAGTCAAGGTTTGGAGGTAGTTTTCTGTGCAGAACGAAAGCTATAGCTGCAGGAGGACACGATTAAGTTGGCAGTTGGCAGTGCAGAAGGGCAGGCAAAGTCAAGGTTTGGAGCTAGTTTCTAATCGGTTCAGAAAGTGACGTTTGGCAGTCTGGGCTACCGGCCGCGCGCCCGATCCGTCCTTCACTGCCGTGGTGTTTTAGCCCTGCGAGAGCTGCATCCACGACATTCTATCATGCGGGTACGAAGGCCGTACGGCTTGCGACCCGAAATGCCTTCGGCGCCCATAAACTTTTTATAGAGATCCTCTCTGAGCCGCTTGTTGGTGCCCGGTGCCTCTTGTCCTACGGCCACAGATTGACATCATGTCTTTAACATCGAAAGATGAGCTTTCTTTCAACCCAACGGTTTTTAAATTTTGTTAGCTATTGTCTCACGCACTGCTGTCTACTTGTAGTCACGACAGAGAATTTAGCTGTGACACGCATGACGTATGCGCGTCCTACCTGTCAGCACAAAGCAACCATTCAGCTGCTCAATCTGCTTTCTCATCTCGTCTTCGTTCCACCCGATGTTCGGATCGAAGTACGCAAAGTTGGCTCCGTACATCGCCTATGGCATTCTCAAGTTCAAAGGCAAAGTTTACTTTAAGACTGTCTTCCACTAATCTCTTTATAGACGGAAATAATTGCAAACCCGATTGCTTTTCATAACTTTCGGCGACTGCAGATGAGCTGAATACAGCGACTGCCCAACTCCTCCAGAAGAGAGGCCAATGAAGATCCGCACGACATTGTACCCTCTTTTCGCCAAAGCCTGCGCTGCTTGGCAACACTTAAAGATAGGAAGGTTGCACCAAAACATTTGCCGGTAGAACTTCTGCAGCCTTTCGACAATGTCTGGTTGCACAACCCCTTTGAGCTTATGTGGAATGAAGGTGTACACGTCCTTGATGTTAGCCCTTGCGACCTCACAGGGGCTTCAATTTCTGGGGAAGACACCTTCAAATTTCAAGTTCTCTAATGTCTGCCTATAGAGGTGCTTCAACATCCGAAAAGCTAATCTCTGTTTCCAAAATGCATGCAACTTTCACAGTAGCCAGGCCTGGCGAGCTACACCCTCGTCGCAATACTCAACGCAACAATGTTCGAAGCAGCATGCGGATGCGGTTCTCTTTGGAGTCTCGCACCATTCCACCATGTAATGCAGAAGTTTTTCCTCTGTGAGTTCCCGCGCAAGCCGTACCTTCAACTGGAGCACAACACGTGCTGCATAAACTCGCCAATTTTTCACATCTCCATCCATATCAGCGTCATCTCCACCCCGCTGCTTCACTAAGCTTTCCCCCACATTGCTTACTGCAGCCTTGATGCACCTCGTCTTGAGCAGCTCTTCATTTTCCCCAGCCTCTTGCCATTGCTGGTTGATGACCTGGAGAAGCCGCTCGTGGTCGCGAGGTGAATCTTCGGGAAAGCGCCGAAACATGCCTTCCAGCTCTAAAAGTAGACTACTGATTCTGCTGGAGTCAGGTGGCACCCCCTTGTACCTCTGAAAGGCACCACAAGGGTGTAGCATGTAGCAATCACCTTCATGAAACCTCAAGAAATCGGAGCCTTCTATGATCCACAGCATCAAGGCATGCTCCCGGATCGACATGTCAGCTGGCCAAACGCACCATGTGTTTCGAAAATCGGGGATAGAGGGCCCCAATGTTATCTTGGTACTTCTGAACCACATGCAAGATTGTATCAAAGTTGGAAACCGGCTCAGCGGGTTGACCCTGGAACTCAACGTTCACATCTGCTAAGCTTTGGAATAAATTTGCAAAATCATCAAAAGAGGTGAGCGCTCCTGGTAGGAGACGGCGTTTCTTCAAAACCTTCCATGTTGACTCTGGAACCTCGTCTCCAATGTCAAGCTCGCGCAAGAAGAAGGCTACAAGCTGGCAGCCAGCAGTGCAGAAAGGCAAGCAAATTGAAGGTTTGAAGCAGAAAGCAACGTGAGGCGGGCAAGAAGGCAGGAGAAAGCAGCGGCGCAGCGGGAGGGTCCTTGGACCGGAGCTGTGCAGAACGAAAGCCAGCTGCAGGAGGACACGAGATGACACGAGCAAGTTGGCAGTTGGTAGTGCAGAAGGGCAGGCAAAGCCAAGGTTTGGAGCTAGTTTGCTGTGCAGAACGAAAGCTATAGCTGCAGGAGGACACGATTAAGTTGGCAGTTGGCAGTGCAGAAGGGCAAGCAAAGTCAAGGTTTGGAGCTATAGTGACATTTGGCAGTCTGGGCTACGGGCCGCGCGCCCGATCCGTCCTTCACTGCCATGATGTTTTAGCCCTGCGAGAGCTGCGCAAGAAGAAGGCTACAAGCTGACAGCCAGCAGTGCAGGAAGGCAGGCAAATTGAAGGTTTGAAGCAGAAAGCAACGTGAGGCGGGCAAGAAGGCAGGAGAAAGCAGCGGCCCAGCGGGAGGGTCCTTGGACCGGAGCTGTGCAGAACGAAAGCCAGCTGCAGGACGACACGAGCAAGTTGGCAGTTGGCAGTGCAGAAGGGCAGGCAAAGTCAAGGTTTGGAGCTAGTTTCTAGATGTTTCTAGTCGGTTCAGAAAGTGACGTTTGGCAGTCTGGGCTACGGGCCGCGGGCCCGATCCGTCCTTCACTGCCATGGTTTTTTAGCCCTGCGAGAGCTGCGCAAGAAGAAGGCTACAAGCTGCGAGCCAGCAGTGCAGGAAGGCAAGCAAATTGAAGGTTTGAAGCTCGTTTTTGAAGGTCAGGAGAAAGTAGCGGTAAAAGCAACAGAAAAAGACAGCTAGTCAGCTAGCTCCTCGTAGCTGCAGAAAGCAACGTGAGGCGAGCAAGAAGGCAGGAGAAAGCAGCGGCAAGAGTAAAATATAGTAAAATAGTAGCTAGTGGTCTTACAAAAGCATCAGAAACAAACAGCCAGTTTCTTGTAGCCGCAGAAAGCAACGCGAGGCGGGCAAGAAGGCAGGAGAAAGCAGCGGCCCAGCGGGAGGGTCCTTGGACCGGAGCTGTGCAGAACGAAAGCCAGCTGCAGGAGGACACGAGCAAGTTGGCAGTTGGCAGCGCAGAAGGGCAGGCAAAGTCAAGGTTTGGAGCTAGTTTGCTGTGCAGAACAAAAGCTATAGCTGCAGGAGGACACGAGCAAGTTGGCAGTTGGCAATGCAGAAGGGCAGGCAAAGTCAAGGTTTGGAGCTAGTTTCTAGATGTTTCGAGCCGGTTCAGAAAGTGACGTTTGGCAGTCTGGGCTACGGGCCGCGCGCCCGATCCGTCCTTCACTGCCACGGTGTTTTAGCCCTGCGAGAGCTGCGCAAGAAGAAGGCTACAAGCTGGCAGCCAGCAGTGCAGGAAGGCAAGCAAATTGAAGGTTTGAAGCTCGTTTTTGAAGGTCAGGAGAAAGTAGCGGCAAAAGCATCAGAAAAAGACAGCTAGAAAGCAACGTGAGGCGAGCAAGAAGGCAGGAGAAAGCAGCGGCCCAGCGGGGGGGTCCTTGGACCGGAGCTGTGCAGAACGAAAGCCAGCTGCAGGAGGACACGAGCAAGTTGGCAGTTGGCAGCGCAGAAGGGCAGGTAAAGTCACGGTTTGGAGCGTTTGCAGTGCAGAACGAAAGCCAGCTGCAGGAGGACACGGGATGACACGAGCAAGTTGGCAGTTGGTAGTGCAGAAGGGCAGGCAAAGCCAAGGTTTGGAGCTAGTTTGCTGTGCAGAACGAAAGCTATAGCTGCAGGAGGACACGATTAAGTTGGCAGTTGGCAGTGCAGAAGGGCAGGCAAAGTCAAGGTTTGGAGCTAGTTTCTAGATGTTTCTAGCCGGTTCAGTAAGTGACGTTTGGCAGTCTTGGCTACGGTCCGCGGGCCCGATCCGTCCTTCACTGCCATGGTGTTTTAGCCCTGCGAGAGCTGCGCAAGAAGAAGGCTATAAGCTGGCAGCCAGCAGTGCAGGAAGGGAAGCAAATTGAAGGTTTGAAGCTCGTTTTTGAAGGTCAGGAGAAAGGAGCGGCAAAAGCAACAGAAAAAGACAGCTAGTCAGCTAGTTTCTCGTAGCTGCAGAGAGCAACGTGAGGCGAGCAAGAAGGCAGGAGAAAGCAGCGGCAAATGCAAAAGGAGAGCTAGTGTCTTGCAAAAGCATCAGAAAAAGACAGCTAGTTTCTTGTACCTGCAGCAAGCAACGTGAGGCGGGCAAGAAGGCAGGAGAAATGTCTGATCTTCTTGCTTCTTCTCTGCTCTTCTCTGACTCCTCCCATCTCTGCTTTTCCATCTGTCCCTCTTGTAAGAAGTTTGACTTCGAAACTTCCTTTGCTTGCATACATTTTAGATGTTCTGTTGCCATGGGACAGAACAAAAAAGCAAGCGACGAAACAAGATTGCGCACCTGCACCAGCCTCCGTTGGTCACTCAGTTTCCCACAGACATGAACCTCCAGTGTCCAGGGGTCGGCGGCAGAGGGCGTAGCCCTTTGATATGTAGTTGTATATTGTAATGTATATTTAATTATATGTACAGTATACCTTATTCCATGTATTATAAGAGTTGGTGATGTATAAACTGTATAGTTGTAATTAAATATATATATATATGTTTTTGGAATATACATATTATACATTATCAATTGTATATGATTCCATGATGTTGCATGTTTTCTGTTGCTGTTAAGATGTACAGCTCTGTGAACATCGCTTTTTCATTCGGGTACCCCGATACCCTAGGCTACTAGGGCACCGGCTCCGCAGGAGTCAGAAGAACCTGGCACACACACGTACATCTATATCATGTATATGTATATATATATATATATGTATATAATCAAATGTATATCATATATTAAATATATCATATATGATAATATATTATACATATTATATGACATAGTATAACATTTATATATATATATATATATTAATATATGTATATATATATATAGTATTATACATATTGTTATCAATATATATATACATTACTAAATATATATGGTTTTATATATTGTTATAAATATATATCATTATCTATATATATATTATATATATATATATTATTTCTATATATTACATATATATAATATATACTATGATTATGAATATATATATTAAAAATACCTTTAGAAATATATTATGCATATATATGCATAGTGTATAATATAAATATACATATACTATAAATATATGTATACTATATATATATTAAATATATATGTATGTATATATACACATATATACATACACATATATATATATATATATGTGTGTGTTATAAATATGTATATATACACATATATACATATACATATATATATATATATATGTGTGTTATAAATATGTATATATATGTATGTATATAGGTATTATATATATATATTATAACTAGAATTATGTTATAAATATATCATATATATATATACGTATTAAACATACATTATAAATTTATATCATATTATATATATACTATAAATATATGTTATATATATTAAATATATGTATATATATATTATAAATATACATATATTATAAATATATATATATATATTATAAATATATATATATTATATATATTATAAATATATATATTTATATATTATAAATATATGTTATATATATATTATAAATATACGTTATATATATATATTAAATATATATATATATATCTATTTAATATATATAGTATATATTTGTAATATATATTTATAAGATATATTTATAATATAATTATATTTATAATATATATATATATAGTACGTCCCTTGTCCATTTTGTACATGCATCTATAGCTGGCTAATACTATATAGATGTGTATGTATATCTGTGCAGTACTATGCATACATCATGTTTTTGCTAGCGGGTGGAAAACCGCGCGTGTAGACGTGCTACGTTTTGAATATGTGGGTTGGGTGGGGTGGGGTGGGATATTAACGTTCATGTACCTTGCGTACACACGTGGATGCTACGCTGCTGGTACGTCACTGGTCAGGGGTTGGGTGGGGTGGGGTGGGATATTAACGTTCATGTACCTTGCGTACACACGTGGATGCTACGCTGCTGCTACGTCACTGGTCAGGGGTTGGGTGGGGTGGGGTGGGATATTAAGGTTCATGTACCTTGCGTACATACGTGGATGCTACGCTGCTGCTACGTCACTGCTGCTACGTCACTGGTCGCAAAAGCATCTTGGTGACAGACGGTGCCCCATGCTACCCTAAACTGACCTCTGAACACAATCTGCTTCATGAAGCTTGCAATCATAGTAAGGGCATCTTCTGCATCACCAAGACAAGCACTGGGGAAACTTGCTAGTGCACACCGGTGGCATCGATGGAATGTGGAAAATTTCCAAAGGTGCAGTATCATCCTCTTGGAGCACACGTAAAGGTGGTGCTGTGAACCCTCAATTGCTTCAAGGAATAAGGATTTGGCAATGGCGATGGCACCATGGAAATTCCACTGACTTCCTCAGTCTCACAGGCCGCGCTCTGAGCAAACGCTTGGAGAAGTGACACGCCAGCGAAAAACAAGGAAAAGGCTTCCAGCCCGCCACAACCACAAAACCCTGTAAATACCACGACATTCATTCAAAGTCATTCAATTTTCCCCGGGAAAATTTAAGGTAGTGTTCATCATAAAATGTGTACGGCGCCACAGCGCCAGAAGAGTTTCTTTTCAAAAAGTGTTCAACCGCTAGCGCGGTTTCCCACCCGCCGGGATGTTTTTACATCGATGTTCATATATAATCATATATATATATATATACATGTACAAATACACATAGAGCTGGCTGATCTGTCCCAAAAACGCCCTGCGATCGGATGTCGCACCAGCAATGGACAGGTGCGCCGGCTCCCGCCCCAAATGTCCAGGATCTGGGATTCGATGGGGCGGAAAAAAGTGAGAAATTCGAGGCAGTTCAACAGCGATTTTAGGGCCAAAATCTGGGAATGATTTTTGGAAAAGTCCTTTCAGCCTGTGGGAAAATCAGATCAAAAAAATCTCAAGTGGGAAAGCTTTTTTGATTCGATCCACAGATGTCCTCATACACACATTTCAATCTGTGTCAAAAAAAACGGTGGATCTACCCCCAACATCTAAACATATGGTAATTCTAGTTGGAAAATGATCATGCCTTTGGGTTTGCGTCTGAGGCCCCGGCCCCCTGGCGAAAGGAATCTGCGGCTTTCTGCATGGATCTGTACAGCTTGTCATGCAAGTGTAGCCTCAAGACCAAATTCACGTTCAAATTGACATGGAAAGACCAGGCCTCTTCTGACTCTGTCATGAAACAGCACCAAGCAAAAGGAATGCAAAAGGGCCCCCAGCCGTAACCAATCTGCCTGCGAATCAGCACTAACCGCTGTGCTCACACTGGCAAGAGTTTTGTGGGAACTTCAAGACTGAAGAAAATGATCAATTTGTACGTTAAAACATCAAAGCTGATCATTTAGGATTGGTAATCCAATAACCCCAGGCTCAGGGATCATAGATGATCATAGGGATTTTTTATTCGCCCCAACATGGATGATTAAAATGGATTAAATCGCCCCAACTTGTTGATGTGACAAGGCAAAGAAAATCATTGACCTTATCTCACCCAGGACCACTGCGCAGCTTTCCATGGAGCTTTCAGCTGGAAAAAAAGGCCTTGTTCTCTTCGGTGACCTCCAGGTTGTGGCCCCCAGGCACCAGCTCCACCTTCGATGGTTACATGATATGCATCTACCCTCTGGTAATTTAACATAGCTATTGAAAATTACCATTTATAGTGGATTTTCCCATTAAAAATGGTGATTTTCAATAGCTACGTTAAATTACCAGAGGGTACCATATATTTCATGGTATATCTATATTATCTATGATATATATATATATATATCTCTATGATTAATGACGATTATAATTATATATATATGTGTGTGTGCCGATGATACTTGTATGTAGTGTCTGATGCTATATGATACTCTACGTGTACACAGTACATAATTAGCCTTTTAAGGAGTTTACCCTGAGCGTTTGCATCTCAATTTCGCAGCGTAAAAGCGCCGCTTTTTTCTTCACAACTTGGCGGCTTCGGCGTCGGTAGCCAGGGAGGCATCCAAGGCTGCAGTGATTTTGGCTCGATCGAGATTGGTGCCGATGAAGACCTGAGAAGCGAGACTCTCACCACTAAGTTACTAAAAGAAGGGAAGATAACCAACAAAACTGGGGGTTATCATCCGTTGAACCACAAGTTACCAAGAATGGTGGTCCGACCATCCAAAAATTGTTCGACTATATTAAACGTCATCAAAATCCATCAAAACTAGGGGCTTTGACCTTGTTTTTTTATTGCTGAAATGGTGATATAGATCGCCAATATGATATACATCCAGTATCCGCCATAGTGGCGGCCCGTTTTAAAAAATCATCGATGAATAGATCCGGTATGATCCGATGCAGTCCACCAACGGTATAGCTTGGGAAGTACCAAAGGTACCTGGTATCTCAAATTTGAGTCATGTTGCTATATATTTATATAAATATAAATATATTTATATACCATCTGGTTATTTATAGCCATGGAAAATCACATAAATCGCCATTTGTAATAGGTAAACCATCTATTTCGATTAGGGCCATCTATACCATGGCGAACTGTTAAATAACCAGAGGGTAACTACATAAGATATCATAAGATTGTTTCCGTCACAAGTGCAGAGCGGCAGATTTCCAGACCCTCCCTATGTTCATAGATCATACCAAGAATTGGTACAAACAATCTCAAACGATCCCAAACGATGATGCACATGTTCTCCACATGTTTCTACAAGCTTCCACATTTCCCATAGGTCCATAGGTTTCATCATGTTTTCCAGATGTTTGATGTCTCAGTTCCTATCCTTTGTCCATGGCCGCAGCCAAGAAACCACTTCCTGTCCCTTGGAAGACGCCGAGGCTGGGAAGACCTCCACCCGTCGCCCCGCGTGCCTGGGAAAATTCCACTGGAAATCCTTCGGATACCAAAAATGACAGGGTTTTCAGCCTGGCTTGTCCGGGAAAAATGATCCAATTCTGGGGCTGAACAATGATGAATACCCTCGGGTAAACTAACATAACTATGGAAAATCACAATTTTTACTGGGAAAATCCACTATAAATGGTCATGTTCAATAGCTATGTTAAATTACCAGAGGGTATATGGTTCAAGCACCGAAAATAGGGACTCACCATGGATCCCTCCAAAACACTTCAAGTCGGGATGAGAATGATCCTCCGCCTGCGGCAAAGTCTGCAGCTGTCTCCAAACCCTGATTGGAGGATCTCCCAACTTAGCAAGTGGTGACCCAACATTGCAACATGGAAGACTGATTGTTAGAAGCCTTGTTTTGGTCAGAATCAATTCCTGTCAATCCAGAACAGGAACTAAAAGGGGGCATCGGGTATCGTTTCTTGAAAGCCCCTACCGTTTTCCAAGCCAAATCCCACCCAAAAATAACACCTGCAGTGAACGCTCCATGTAAAATTTACATGACAATATTTTAGACCCCGGTTCTTGGAAACATAAATAAATATAGATACCTGGACCTTCAAAAGTTCCATAATATTTATACGTTGACTATTGCACGTTTGGGCCGTTTTGACCGTTCCCCGCCAAAACTGAACGTTCCAAAACAAAATTGAACAGGCTTTTCCACACCATGTCATTATACCACTGAACTTGGGCTAAAAATGTCATATCATGTCATATCATAGCGTCACACAGCAATGATTGATGCATTGTGACATGCATGCAAATTCGAGTCCCAATCTGATCATACTTTTATCACCAAGTCGAGATTATAATATGAGCCTTTGCTCCCTGTATTGCGCGTATTGTGCATTGAAAGCTTTGGTTGATAAGCCCACCAAAACAGAAATTGTGTGGAATTATGTCCATTGTTCAAAACAAAAAGTGCAGAAATTGCAAATTGCTTACTTTTGTGGGTTTTTGCGTATTTTTGCGGATTATTTGCGTACTTTTGCGTTTTTTTTTGCGTACATGTTGTTTGTGGTTTGGAGCATTTGGGGATCAAAACACTGCAATGTTTACAATACGACGGAAAAGTTGCATGTATTTTTGTCATTAGGGGCAGGTCGGTGGGACCATGCCTGAATAGTGGGGCGGATGAGCAGGAACAATATATTCTGTGTGTGCATATGTAGCAAAAAGTTGCAAAACATGTTGGTGTCTCTAATTCATGGAACAGAATTTATTGACCTGACACTCAACGTAGTTCCACAGGCAATCTTAATTACCCATGTCTAAATGACAACCAAAAGTTCTTGCGCCACTTGATTTCTGAACGTTTGATCCAAATGTGCCAATCTGGCATGTTTACAAGATTTGCGCACTGTTTGCGCAGATTTGCGTTCAAAGTTTCATAGATAGATAGATAGATAGATAGATAGGTAGATAGATAGATAGAGATAGATAGATAGATAGATAGCTAGAGATAGAGATAGACATAGACATACAGATAGACATACAGATAGACATACAGATAGACATACAGATAGACATACAGATAGACATACAGATAGACATACAGATAGACATACAGATAGACATACAGATAGACAGATAGACAGACAGATAGACAGACAGATAGACAGACAGACAGACAGACAGATAGACAGATAGATAGATGGATATATATATATATATATACATTATAGAATATGTATATATATATATATTCAAACACGCACACACAGATACATACACACATATGTATATATATATGCAGTGCAGAGACAACAGAGACAAAGAATTGTGCATCCTTATGATCACATATAATATATGTATCGGTGTGTGTGTGTGTGTGTCTGTGCCTGTGTGACTAGCTCGTCCAAGCCACGACCAGTAGAAGCTTCGATCAGAACCAAGGCTGCGAACCTTAGGAAAACAACACCGCCGATCTCCGCCGGTCGTCGAACTTGAGATGCCCCAAGTTTTAGGGCCACGTTTTAGAATGTTTTAGATACCTTGAGGATTTGTGAATGGCGGGTCTGGCGGGTCTCATTCATATTTGATGCCGTAATCTTCTTCCAGTTTCTTCCCCTTTGGGGGGCCGGAATTTCAGGTTCCAAAGACTGCAGCCAAATCTTTGAGTCCTCATGAAGTTCAACTCACAGAATCAAACACAGGACAATGACAGGCCTCCTATGAAGAGCCTCGATGTTGATCATGTTTTGAGGATATGTTTTCCCAAACCATGGCCTGCAACCAGCATGGTCCAACACTGAATCTGCGAACGAGCAGCAAAACCTTTTGATCGTAGAACGCCAGCAAAGAGCGGATCATCAATGGGCTCACTTACCTCTGGCCGTCAAAAATGATCACTGCCAAACAAGAATACCAACCCTGAGCCAAAATATAGCAGCATAATATGATATGGAATTCTATTTATATAAATATATATATATATCAGCCCTAATTTTTTATCCAATCGATACATCCCATCCCAAAAACCATTAAAAACCAACGATGCAGGGCCTGAGGATCTACAAAGCCAATGCTGGCACTCACCACTGGTAATCTTCCTGAAGTCACATGGTGGATGCCGGTGGCAAAAATAAGTGATTGATAGTGATGGTACAATCCATTGAAACTTGCTGAAAAAGGATGATGAAAAATATGAAAACTCATGAGACATGAAATCCGGGGACTGTTTTACCACTTCGATGAAAAAGTGGTGAAAATGGAACAGCATAGTTTTAACTGGAACAGCATGTAATGCAAGACTCTGCAAGACCTTCTTGAAAAAGTTTTCTCTACCGAAAGTAGTCAAGTGCCTTTGGACATGAAGCCTTCGCTCTCACCATGCTCTCCCAAGCTGAGCTTCGAATAATCGTCGCCAACCTCTCTGGGTGGAAGCTGCGATCGTGGCAACGGTACACGAAACCTGAGTCGCAAAGCTAGAATGTTGAGAAGAACATGGAAGCACATGGTTCTTACCCTCTGGTAAACATACAAAAAACTATGGAAAATCACCATTTTCAATGGGTAAATCCACTATTTCTATGGCCATTTTCAATAGCTATTTTGACATTACCAGAGGGTAACCATGCCCCCCCCCAATAAACCCCCAATCCATCCCCAACCCATCCCCAGCCACCAAATCATGTCAAAGCCGCTGGAGATGCCAAAGCGTTCATGGCGGGCACCGGTGCAGGTGCTACACTCCTCCCCATTGTGCGCATGATCATGATGGTGGCCCTCAATCGGCAGGATCAGGCTTGAGATATATTGAGATGTCAGGTGTCAAACAGATGAAATAGATCAAATAGCCTCAGGTCATTTGCAGTAACATAGCTAGGGAAAATGAACCAGTTAGTTCAATGATATCAATGATTTAGCTATCAAAACTTATGATTTTCCATAGCAAATCTGAAACAGTCAGTGAAACCTGGCACGACCAGCACCGACCAGCCGACCAGCCGGGTGCCGGGCATTGGACGCATGGCTTCCTGTGTCAAATGGAGTCATGGCCGAAAAACGAGACGCCAAAACAACAGCCATCATCCCAGATGTCCCAAATTCCCATTGGTTGATGAAAAAAGAGTGGTTTGAAGAAACCCCTGAAAAAACAACAGGTTTCTATGATGATAGATGATGATAGATGGATATAGACTATAGATGGGATTCACCACCATGGCATCCATGAAAAATCCGCCTTCAGCACTACGCACTGCTGCACTGTGTCGATTGGGCAAGGTGGGGACATACGCCGGCATTTCGAGGTCGATGGGCTCTGCAGGCAACAGTGTCCTGCCGGGAAATGGGATCCCCAACAGTAGGGCCTTTAAATTAAAGGTGAAAGATGGGAAAATGATGATCAATGGATATATATATATATATAATTATATATATATAATTTCATTATATATATATATAAATATAATTTAATTATATATATATTATATATATATATATAAATTACATATATAATATATAATGGTTGGATGTTTGGGTCTTGCCAAACCCAAGCAAGTACGGCTATTATTTCATATTTTTTCGGCTCCAAAGGCCAAATCAAACCGCACCAGGCCTCAAGGGGAGTTGCCCACGTGTGGCCTGAAATTGGCGGGCATTGGGACTCAATGCCTTCAGCAGTTCCGAGACTCTGGTCAATTCTTCACTGCTCACCTCAAGCCAGGCAAGGGATGCCGGGAAAATGTGGATGGCTACCCTCTGGTAAACATACAAAAAGCTATTGAAAAATGGCCCGTAGAAATAGTTGATTTACCTATATTTACCTATATTAAAGTGGTGATTTTCCATATAGTTATGTAAACGTTTACCAGAGGGTATGGCGGGCGACTGAGTTGCTGCTGATTGCAAGCCAGGGACCAAGTCCGTCTTGTTGATGATGACCTCTCCGAGTGGCGGATGTGGGCTGAGGGCTGATGCCCCCCCCCAAAAAAAAAACAGGAAATGGTGCCAGTGCACGCTCAAGCATGATCAGCCTCAACAAATCTTATTACGCACACAACGTATATCAACGTATAATGTGTACATAATGATGTGTATACTCAGATGTTACATGTATTATCATGTATTCATGTATTATATATTGCTACAGTACATTTCACTACTATTGTTACCGAAACGCATTTCTTACTAAACCTTGTTATTGTGCACAATCACTATCCATCCGCATGCAGAACTTCGTCGACTTTTTCTCTGTGTTATTCCCCGCTTGCCAGGTGAGGGCAGATAGAATGCCAGAATCTATGTCAGATAGAATGCCAGAAAAATGCCAGATAGAATGTCAGAAAGATAGAATGCCAGAAATATTATCAGAATATATGTCAGATAGAATGCCAAAAAAAATGTCAAAACAACATGTCAGGCTGGGGATCACTCCAAGTAAAGTGATTTTCAACTGATCTTTGAAGGCGAGTCGCAGTGTCAGAAGACTCCAGTTGGCTCACCAGCAATGCTGACAAGGGTTTGCGCTCTGTATCACCCTGGTCGCCTGACATCCGAAGGCGCTGTGCAAAGGGAGGAACGGGCGCTGTGCATCGTCTGTCGGCCACTTTTTCGACTCTCGCTGGTGAAAGCCATATGCAGGGCGCTGCAGGGAACCAATCATTACCTCACACATTAAATTGGTCAAAAGTATTCAACAAGTTCTTTTAACATCTTCAATGACTGCTTCCTCCAGAGGACTTGGGCGCTTATAAATCTGATAAAACAGCCGGGAAGTCCTTGAACTTCAGCATCTTTCCCCCAGATCATGAGATTTGAGATGCCACAGCTCGCCTGATGCCATGCTTAGTGCCATAGAGTGAATAACTGTGATCTGACTTCTTCATGCTCCACGCCGGTGCAGGGATTCAATTTCGCCAGCTCGGGAAGAGCCATGACTTCCCCCAGCTGGACCAGCACCAGCAGCCGGCGCCATGCTCACCCTTCGGAAAAACGTCATGTCACCATTGCCATGTCTCTTGCTCCTTCACGAAAGCCACAGTGTCCCAGACGCGAAAACTCTGCCTTTGCCAAGTTCATCCAAGTTCTCAGTGCAGAGCTGCGCTGACAGCTAAAATCGGGTCACTCCATCGTCCAAGTTCTGGGTGTATCCCCACCTCCTTCAGAAACCAAGGTGAATCAGCAGCTCATGGCATCTCAAAAAATAAAGTGAGCCCTGAACAGCATGCAAAATGATCATATACGATCCCTTCTGACAATGATGAACACCTCAGAAAATTTACTCATAGTCATCTTATATGTATGTAAATATATGTATATACATATTTATATATTATATAATTAATTATATATAATGGTGTAAAATGATACAGAATTATATAAATATACAATTAATCAAAACAAGTTGTTTCGAGGTTGGTGGAGGGATGGGGTTACAGCGCTGAAGAAAGGCGACTTCAAATTCGGTCGTGAGTCGTTTCGAATCAGCGGCTGGGCAAGTCTGAGCCAAACGTCCCGGAAAATCTTGGAAATAAATCCTGGAAATTTGTTTTAGACTGATTTAGATTCAAGATGTTTCAAGATATGGCAGTGTGTCAAAACCTTGTACCCCTGGTGAACATCAAAATAGCTGGTCAATGGATGTTCATTCCCCTAAAAATGGTATTAATAGGTATTGATCCATACCCATATTGAATGGTGATTAATGGATTCAAGATGATTCCATCTGGAGGGCACAACTGCTGCCATAGAAAAACTGCCTGAGTTGTACATCTCCCAGAAGGCGGAAGCATCGACCACACAGATAATGCCAGCCAGGAAAAGTCTCTTCATCAGTGCATCACCATTTCTTCCCCTGTCCTGCCATGCAGAATCCAAGGTCAAAACAATTCAAAACATGTCAAAACTGGAGCCCTGAAGCATTCTCACAGACTGGTTCCAAGTCCAAAAAATAACGTTTCTCTATCATGGCTACTTTTAAAACCAAGAAATCCTCTATGGCCCAGTAAACCTCTGTTTCCGACATTGTGAGACCGAATTCTTTGCCAGCAACATTGGAATTTGATCGGATACGAATAGTGACTTTTTTTGTTCCCAGGTTGAACTACCACAGCGTGCTGCAAAAAAAAGTGATCAAATTTGCAGTTTCCAGTTCCAGTGGATCATTTTCCCACTCGAATTGGCTATGTTTGTTGGAGGGTATGCTTGGGGGTGTCCTACACCCAGGGTTATGAATGGATCAACTAATTACATATGAGACTTAAACCTCCATTTTTTTGGGGATATAAAATGTATATAATCATCTATAATCCCTACAACTATGGTAAGATATAAGCCACTGATCAATCCCTTTACTAGTGATCAATGGGGCGCCCCATTTGCTTCTTCCCTCAGATCGGCTCCTCGAGTTCCGCAGCAATGCTCTCAGGCTCCGCGACGCCAGAGCATTCCACGACTAACCTGGCGCGAGGCTCGGGTGAAGCTACCAATGACTGGCATAAAGGAATTTGCTTAAGGAACCCCCAAAAAAAGGTACCTATGGTAACTATTCCCTACAGATTGCCCAAGTAATGGATGTTCTGGAAAATAGGCCAGAATAAGCCAGATTCTAAGCACATTGAATTGGCGGTTTCAATCAAGCCAGGATGGGATATGTATATTTTATTTAAAAAGTACATTTATGGCCACAATTAAAAAAGTAAAATCCCATCCTGATATGGAAAACATGTTTATAAATATATTATAAGTAAATATTTATGGCCACCCATCCGGATATGACCTGACGAGATAATACATGATAATACTAGACTCTGGACACACCACTGCAGAATTCAAGCAGCAGAATGGTGATCCCGCACTTGAGACATTCGTCAACCAGCACTAAAGATTCTAAAGGCAGAAAAACATGTTATTGCTGAAACAAACCAGTGGGCAAACCATCAAAAAACCGGGCTGTGTATATATATATATATAAAGATCCGATAATATGATGCCAAATTCTGTGCTCAAAAATCAGCCCAAAAGGCCCCAAAAGCCTCGACCCATAAAATGGGTCTCCCCTGGTCTGGATGCTGCCATGGCCAGTGGCATCTCCCAGTTTCTCCCAGGCCACCCATGCGCTGCCTGTCCCAAGGTTTCTCCACTTTGGTGATGCCACTGCTCTCCACCAGCTCTTGCAGTCGTGCGAACAGATCTGCCCTGCACATGGAATTCAGAGCTACATGACATCTGTAGGGTCTATGTATGCAAATGATTTCAAAAAAAAAGTATGTAGGTCACATGTACCCTCCAGGAATAAAAAGTGAGTTGCTGGAAAATCCACCAGATAGTTCCTGGATTTTCCCATTGAACCCCCGACTTGTACGGGATTTTCCATTGCCACATTACCAAATGGTAACAGAAGTTGTCCTTGGATCGTACAGTCCTCCAGTATACCCCATTGTCGGCTACGTGAATGAACTGCATGACCAGGCCGAAAGAAGCCTTCCAGAGCAGCAGGCGCAGCCATTTTGCAGCCCAACAATGCCGTCCGCATCTTCAAACTTCAAAACCTGCCGAGATGGAAAGATCCGTGGCTACTCCTTGGATGAGTGACGGCACCTTCTTCAGATGTATGGCATATCCCGTATAGATACCCCAACAACTAGGGTTGTCTACCACTTGAATGGTGTTACAAACACAGAGCCTCCAAAAAATGGGCCTACGCCGTGTGAACAGTGAGACTGCATGCATACTGCATACCAAATTACAGCACACTGCACTTAGGACATTACACTCTGTATTCCACCGATATAATCCATAAAACAGTGCGCTACAGGGCCATTTTGATTTTCAATAAGCGGTACAAGTTACCAAATGTTAGCATTCTCGCAGTGCTGCATCATCCTGCATCAATGCACAAAAACCGGGATCTTCGGCTCGCCTCTGAATCGATGTTCACTTCCGCAACATCATTAACCACCACCCCGACCTGCATGAAGACCCTCCAGCAATCCAACATGATCCAACATGGCTATGAAAATCATTGGAAGTCCATGGGTTTTCCATGGGTTTTCCATGAGTTTCCCTAGGAATTGCTCGGGAAAAACCACGGCCTTGAGCCCTTCGCGATTCTTCAGGATGTGCTGCACCATGGTGGTCTTCCCCGCACCTGACAGCCAGGGCGTCACCGTGAAGCGTTGACTTTCAGCGTGACGTGCAGCGTGACGTGCTGGGTCGAGCCAAGGCACCCAGGAATCCGCACAGGATTGACACTGGCACCTTTGGCGGAGGTAGCTTCTGCCGTCCTGACGTTTCATGACGTTTCCAGTTGGAGTGAAAAATTCCCCACGCAGTGTGGCCTCTATGGCAAGTCAAAAGCAAGTAATACGAAGATTCAACAACTAGGCAACAAGTATCTAAGTGGTTTATCATCCATGTTTATCCATGTTTATCCCATCTACACATGACCGTTATAACCGTTATAAATCCGTTATAGGTGATGAACCCCCCCCATCCGTGGGAGGTCCTCCTCGTCGTCGAATCCCAATCTCGTCCCCATAACCAAGGCCAAGGGGATCGTCCATGTCCAACCTCACCGCGGTGTGGCATGGAGAAGTTCGAACTATAAACACTGAATATCACTGATATAATAATTATAATAGATATATATATATATATACATATGTGAATATGTATATGCATACGTCTATTATGCGTAAGTATGCGTATGTATATATATATATATAGATATACACATATACTATGTATTAATAATTAGTATGTATTAGTATGTATTAGTATGTATTAGTATGTATTAGTATGTATTAGTATGTATTAGTATGTATTAGTATGTATTAGTATGTATTAGTATGTATTAGTATGTATTAGTATGTATTAGTATGTATTAGTATGTATTAGTATGTATTAGTATGTATTAGTATGTATTAGTATGTATTAGTATGTATTAGTATGTATTAGTATGTATTAGTATGTATTAGTATGTATTAGTATGTATTAGTATGTATTAGTATGTATTAGTATGTATTAGTATGTATTAGTATGTATTAGTATGTATTCGTATGTATTCGTATGTATTCGTATGTATTAGTATGTATTAGTATGTATTAGTATGTATTAGTATGTATTAGTATGTATTCGTATGTATTCGTATGTATTAGTATGTATTAGTATGTATTAGTATGTATTAGTATGTATTAGTATGTGTATTAGTATGTATTAGTATGTATTCGTATGTATTATGTATGTATGTAGTATGTATTAGTATGTATTCGTATGTATTAGTATGTATTAGTATGTATTAGTATGTATTAGTATGTATTAGTATGTATTAGTATTAGTATGATTGTATTAGTATGTATTAGTATGTATTAGTATGTATTAGATTGTATTAGTATGTATTAGTATGTATTAGTATGTATTAGTATGTATTAGTATGTATTAGTATGTATTAGATTGTATTAGTATGTATTAGTATGTATTAGTATGTATTAGTATGTATTAGTATGTATTAGTATGTATTAGTATGTATTAGTATGTATTAGTATGTATTAGTATGTATTAGTATGTATTAGATTGTATTAGATTGTATCAGATTGTATTAGTATGTATTAGTATGTATTAGTATGTATTAGATTGTATTAGTATGTATTAGTATGTATTAGTATGTATTAGTATGTATTAGTATGTATTAGTATGTATTAGTATGTATTAGTATGTATTATGTATGTATTATTAGTATGTATTAGTATGTATTAGTATGTATTAGTATGTATTAGTATGTATTAGTATGTATTATGTATTGTATGTATTAGATTGTATTAGATGTATTAGTATGTATTAGTATGTATTAGTATGTATTAGTATGTATTAGTATTGTATTAGATATGTATTAGTATTAGTATGTATTAGTATGTATTAGTATGTATTAGTATGTATTAGTATGTATTAGTATGTATTAGTATTAGTATTAGTATGTATTAGTATGTATTAGTATGTATTAGTATGTATTAGTATGTATTAGTATTAGTATTAGTATGTATTAGTATGTATTAGTATGTATTAGTATGTATTAGTATGTATTAGTATTAGTATGTATTAGTATGTATTAGTATGTATTAGATTGTATTAGATTGTATTAGTATGTATTAGTATGTATTAGTATGTATTAGATTGTATTAGTATGTATTAGTATGTATTAGTATGTATTAGATTGTATTAGATTGTATTAGATTGTATTAGTATGTATTAGTATGTATTAGTATGTATTAGATTGTATTAGTATGTATTAGTATGTATTAGTGTGTATTAGATTGTATTAGATTGTATTAGATTGTATTAGTATGTATTAGTATGTATTAGTATGTATTAGATTGTATTAGTATGTATTAGTATGTATTAGTATGTATTAGATTGTATTAGTATGTATTAGTATGTATTAGATTGTATTAGTATGTATTAGTATGTATTAGTATGTATTAGATTGTATTAGATTGTATTAGATTGTATTAGTATGTATTAGTATGTATCAGTATGTGCATGATGACCACACCTATAGCCCCAAAAGAACAACTCCAGGCCCTTCAGGGCCCTCGACTCTTTGCTGCCAAAGTGCATGTCACAACGAAGGCTCGTGAGCCGGAAAAGCTTCAAGGCTGGGGCCGCCCGCATGAACCACAGGGCGCTTGAACCACGCAGCTGAAGGAAGGAATCCGGGGCAGAGGTGTTCTGAGATTTCTGAATGGGACCCATCCTCGGATCACTCCATTGATACTGACGCTTTGCCTGATTATGCTGCTTCAATGCTGATTCTGACTCACTCTGGGTGAATTTTTGTGACCCCCAGATTCATAAACCCTTCGTTTACGAATTGGGTGTCATTCACAAGGGGAAGCACTACTATGTTGGGACTCCCCATTCGTAAATTGGGTGTTACCAATCCTCAACTCATTGGATTGCTGGGAAAATGCACCATAGGAATCCCCACAAACCGATGGTAAAAACATGTACCATCTGGTTATGACTAACAGTTTGCCATGGAAAATCACCATTTTTTATAGGTAAGCCATCTATAAATGGGCCATTTCCCATGGCTATGTTAAATAACCAGAGGGTACAAACCATGGTTTCCGGTCAAGATTTTTGGATTTTCCCAGGAGTTTCCTTGAACATCTTGAAAAACCAATCCATTCATCAACCCTGCTGGCCCAGTATCCAAAACGCGCTGCGGTTGGCACCTCCGTGGCTGTGCCGGTGATGGTTCGTGTGAGCTTCAGCCCTTTGATGCCCGACTCGGAGACGTGGCATTCCCTCGGTAAAAGCCAAGGAATGTCCATAGGATTCCATAGGAATTTCTATGATAAACCATCCATATTGGGGTACCCCCAAAACTTAGGAAACCCATGGAACACCCCAAAAAAATCACGTGGGCTTTTGTCTTCAGAAATTTGGCCAGTTAGAATTGAGATGAATTGAGACATAGTGACATAGTTCAAAATAATAATATATAGCCACTTAAATGCTGATGTTGTTTGCAAAACACTGTGGGGAAAAAATGCTGCGTTCTCTCCCACTTGCAATCTTGAAAGTATCACACCTTACATAGTTCTGTCATGTTGGGCTGCAACAGCTATGTCCTATCGTGACGCTGTTAATGGGTTTGGTATTCTCATTGCATTGCGTTGTGTTCCATTCATCATGATGACTGCACGCCACTTTTTCACCGCACCGCATTTTCACGATGTGCGGCTTGCGCACAACATCGCACAACATTCCCCCGCGCGCTTCGCAGACTCATCTTTCCAAGGGACCTTCGCTTCACAAGAGGATGTTCGAGGTATCCCAAAGTGATATTCCCATGGTTCGGGACATCAGAATTGGGATATGTTCCTAAATTTGGGAGACCATATTGTTTGGAGATGTGGGAGAATATACCCATTTTTTTCCATATTCTCCAAATGACCATGTTTTGGTCGATCGTTTTGGAACAAAGAAAAACTGACCTATGATTATGATTCCTCAGCGCCCGACACTGCCCATCTCGACAAAGTGACTTCACATGCACCTACGGGCAGGGAGGATGGAAACGAAGCCTTGACAGAAAAATGACCTTAGGCACACAATGATACCCAAATCAAAAATGGAACCCCAAACATGATCAAACATAACTAATCATGACTATCTGACTAGTTGTGACAAACTGTTTTAGGAGGAAACCTATCCTCCGTTCACTGCCCTGTTTGGGTCCATCATTTCTGCGGTCTGTTTACCTCCAAGGAACCCCCGGTCTCATCTCAAAAATCTCCGATTCTTGCGTGGCGATTTCATTCGTGGCTAGCTGCAAGCCATCCAAAATGTATGAGTCAAATTGAGTCAATTGAGATTCTCATCCCAATTGTAGTCGAAAATTCATGAAAATTCGGTAAGAATCCATCCACCCAAATTTCCATCACATGCGACCAGCTTCAGTCCATAACATCCCACACCTTGGCGTAGGTCATGGCGGAGCTATCACCCGCCTCCGCTTCTTCCACACATTTGCTTCCCAGTTGGCACCAGCCATTGCGATACATCGTGGCAAAGGCGCAATTCTGTGCTTTGGTGCAGCGCAGAATGCACTCCTCCGGGTCAAAAAGGCCTCCGCAGATTGTGAGAGTCCCGAGATGTTCAGAGATATCTCTTTGGATCTCTTTGGGGGTTTCCGGTCCGTTTTGGTCAAAGTCATTGGCTTCGTTGGAACTTCGCGACGCGGAAATCAAGGGGTGTCCGGTGAATATTTTTTCCCACATCCAAGATCCCATGCAAAATCCATCACCTTTGGCCTTGATGTGACCATCAAAAACACAATCATCAACCATTCAAAAAACCCTCGAAGTGGCGCCATCGCACTGGCCATCCAGTTCCTGGGTGTGGGCGCCATATCGAGCCACGCTGGTGAAAAATCTCTGCCTTCGACCAAGAACGGGACTTTGCCACCGTTGTTGCAGAACTTCCCCGTGGAATAGTGCTGATAGTCCTGGCGGAAAAAAAACAGCAAAACCTGGTGGTTGAACCAATTGCTCCAAGATATTCCAAGAATATGGGCATGGATCAGCACCTACCCTCTGGTAATTTAACATAACTATGGAAAATCACCATGCTATTAATGGGAAAATCCACTATAAATGGCCATTTTCAATAGCTATGTTAAATTACCAGAGGGTAGAATGTTCCATAAATCTGCTGGGATGAACATCCAGGAAAACAAGCTTGGCTGAGCCGCTGACAATGTTGACTTCATCCGCAAAGAGTCTGGAGGCATCCCAGCCCATCTCTAGAGGTAGCCCTATGGTACCGCCTGGTCATCAGCTCCATGGCTGGAAAACTCCCCAAATTGTCTGATTCGATCTTCCCAGCATTTCCCAGCTATTGAACTCCATTTATAGTGGATGTTAATGGATGTTATGTTCCCATGATTTTGCATTAAACATTCATTAAATTAGATAGGTTAGATAGATGTTAAACATCATTAAACCATCATTCAATCCCATATATCCCATTGGATGTTAAACATCATTAAAGCCTCCATTTTGTAGATAGATTAGATATAGGCTATATCGGGATTTTCGTGGATTCCAGCTGCTGCGCTGCTGACATTGTCATCTGAGGCGGCTCGGCCTCCAGCCGTACGGCTGTTTCGGTGCGCCATTTTCTTGGACGGATGCAGGTTCCTCGGGCCAAGCGGCCATCATCCCAGTTGGCATGGCATAAGTTTTGACCATGCTAAAGACCCATCACCATCACCAGCTGCTCCAAAACATATAAAAACATATATAAAAAAAAACAAATGGAATAGACATGAAGAGACGTTGATCGACTTTGGCGAAAGATTTTTGGACATCTGTGGGTCCCACCGCTATTCTTGTGGGATTTTTGAATCCAGGTAGCTATATATGGGTGCGTCGGAAAATGCATACCCCCTATCCCCCAAAAATCGTCATTTCATGGGTATTCAATGAATGAAACTGATCCATTATCCATTGGCTTATCCATTGGCTTTTTCCGGCGCTTCCAACGGTTTGCCCTACAGCTAGAAATTTTCAGAGCATGCAGAAGTTGATCATTTTTGTAGCCTATTTTCAGACAGGGAGTGGCTTGCACTTGAACTCTGACAAATCTTGATACAACAGGATTCAAAACCATAATTCGAGTGCCAACTATCTCAAGGTACACCACATTAACTACTGTACGACGACGACATTCATGACGACCGACATATGACGACCATTGACGACCTCACCATGACGCCAAAATGCGCCGGATCCACGGGCAAATGCTTGCCTGAAGCGATGGAACCATGGTTCCCCCCCAAGTTGTGTAGTCTTCAGTTGACCAAACTGGGGGTGGAATCCCCATGACACCACCCTTGCAACCAATGTGCAACCAATGTCATGATTTCGAACTTGAAACCAAGAATTGTGAAAAGCACAATTGACATATTAGTGATTATTAGTGTTTACTATTTGGCCAAGCAGAAATTGGGGCTGGGGAATCCTGAACAAAACATGAAAATCTTACAAGATCTCACAATGGGCAGATCCCCATGACCGTATGACCATTTATGACCTATGAAAATGGATTTAGAAACAACCCATGTTTTGATCATTGCGCCATCAGCACGGTGGCGGCCTCGCCTTGTCTCCAAGCCTCTCTCCAGTGCCCAGAAGTGCGACAAACTCGAAGCAGCAGGGTGACCCAAAGCGGCGACCAAAACATAGCCCCGAGTCCCGAGTCCCGAGTCGGGTCCCTTAAGGGGCCTAAGCCATGACGAAAATCTGTTGGGAAGATCCTGGTGAGCCACTCGAGATAGGGATTTCATCATGTTCATCAACCAGAAATGCGGATTCCATCGTCAACAAGAACTGAATTGACAGAAATTCAACCGCTTTGCCGGAATTAGGCAATAAAATTTCAGTGGTGGATGAGCCACAAATGGGCCACAATAATCAGTCAATTGGAACATCCCAATTGCCCTGGCTTTCCAGGAGCCTGCTACTGCTGCCTTTTGACCCTTTCTTTGCCATGTTTGTTCTTTCTTTATCGTCCATTCTCAGGATCCTTGAGATTTATACAGCTATGCGGGAACGACGACTCAAGATGACCCAACGCTGAAGCTTTGGAAAACGCGCAATGAGAAATTCAACTGTTGGCCCCACCCACCTCTGTGCACCTGCGTGCAAGAATTTTGGCGCAGTGTATCCTGTGGTTCTTTTTTTATGCTACATGATGATGTCAACATCGACTTAATACATCGCCAATGTGAAATCTGACATCTGTGTCATCTGTGGCACCTGGCATCAAAATCATCAAAGCTCAGATTTCTGTGGAGTCTTCTGCTCCGTCAAGATTTCATAATAGTCATTGGAACCGATGTTCAGTGCAGAATGCGTCCGCGGAGTTGGAGGCAATGTTCCCACCGTTGGCTCTAGAAATTCTCCCTTCACTTTGAAGCCCATGGTGCCCTCCGCGCGAAAGTCGAAGAGCCTTTTGCCATGCTGGTCATAGACTTCGAGCTGTGTCGGAGTGATTGCAGTGAAGTGATAGTCCTCAGGTGATGGTGAATTTTGATGCCGAACTGGAGACCAAACTAGCCTCTGGTAGTTGAAGATTAGCTATGGAACATGGCCCCTTTATAGATGATTTACCTGTTGAAAAGGGTGATGTTCCATAGCTGCCATAGCTGGGTTAAATGTACCCAGGGCAATTAGTAGCAAGTAGTAGCAACAGCTCATGCGCATACTGGGACTGTTTTTCCGTGTAGTTGTAATTTGTCTGACGAATGGATGTCAATCTTCTAGTTTGGATCATTAGCTAGCCGCAATAGTAATCACGATGATAGTAGTGATGACAATACTAACAATAACAACAAGAACAATAATGACTGATGACAATAACAACAATGCTGATCATGAGTCATGAAACGTTCATTTGTCGGTGGCTCATGCAGATACGGTTTTTCATGGGTGTGGTCTGAAGGTTCTGGCACACTGCCAACTTTGCCCATATCTATGGGGTACGGTATGGATCACAAGGCCCACACGATTGGTCACAAGACCAGAGCACGGCACGTTGACCCATACCCATGTGAAGCATTGTGAAGCCATGAGACGTCAACCAACAGCTGGATGTTCGCCAGATGAAATTACCAGCAAAATCTCGCTTAAAATCTCGCAAAATCATTGGAGGCAGCTGTGGACTAGTGGCAGTTTGAAATCCAGCTGATTTTTTGTGACCCATCGAGACCCGGAAATGAAAGAAACGCATCCCATGTTTTTTTCGCCAAGTTGCCAGGTCATGGCGATGCAGGGAGGTCATCCCACCTGGCGGCAATGTAAAGTTCCAAACCCGCACCATCTCATCTTCAAAGATCACTCTTGAGCCCACAAAGCCATCAATTTCGCAATCCTGCCCTGGAGCACATGGCTTGGGTTCTCCCAAATCTTCACTGGGAATGGCGGTCCCGGTCCGATCTAGCAGACGAAGAAGGAGGAAGCTCCACGTCGAAAATGCCACTCTCATCCCCGCGCCGATTTTCAGCGAACCCCAAGGGCACCAGCTTGAGCCATGGTGGTTTTCCAAGGGCTAGTGGGGAACATGCAAAAAGGCTACCGATGAGTCGGGTAAGTTTACTTTACCCGACTCAAAAGATGAAAAAAGAGCGCTACGAAAATCGCGAAGTGTCTATAAACCGCTACACATATGATTGGATCTTTCGGATCTTTCGGACTTGGGTAACCTATGGCTGGGCTGGACACTGGAGTTCTTCGAGGCCGCGACAGGAGTTTACGAGACGCGCGAATGTCATCACCTGCGTCGGATCACCAATGTGGATGTGCTACTCGTCTCTCGGGGTGTCTGATAAATCAATGTTTGTATATGAAACTTTGCTATATGAATAGTATGTATAGATATGTATAGCATGTCTACTTATCTACCCAATCTCTTGCTGGTTCCAAATCCAGTTTCTTGTTCATCATGATCCCCGAAAGTCTGTAAATTTCCATCCTTGAAAGCCTTCATCTTCCCAAAACCTGCCCTCCGCAGAGCCCAAGGCTTCAAGGTGTTCCCAGTAAAATATGACTTCCCCAAGGACACATGTTTTTATATAGATGATGTATGATCATGTTTCCCCTTATTATAGAGTCATATCTCATATGCATATGGCTTTGTCTGAGAATAGGGAGGTGCCTCTAAATCATTCTAGATCCACTCATCATGTTCCCTTTCAAATTGCCGTAACTTGGGGACACTCAGACTTGGATATAATTGGTTTGTAAAAAGTCGATCAATAAATTATATATGCACATAATCATATCATAGTTGAACCTCCCATGCAGCAATTAAACCTTTGTACAATACAAATCCCGGTAACATCCCATTTTTTATCACCCCGTTTAATGCTTAAACCTCTTCTAATTCCCATCAATTCCCCGGCTTGGCTTCCCAACTCCCCTCAGACTCTGCAATCTGCCGCTGTAGCTCCTCCAAGCTCACCGTGTCATCGCGAGCAACTTGATACATGAAGAAGCCTCGCACCGCAGGGCTACCCATCCCGTCACTTCACGACACGTCCCATGGGTCAAATGGCCAATGTCGATAATATTTACCATGATCTACTACTAAAAATATGGTGATTCTCCGTAGCTATAGGTTAGATTGCCAAGGGGCTAAATGTTGTGTTATATATATGTATAAATTACTTCACTGTGTTTTTAGCTTCTTGAGCCATAGCTTAAAATGTTAGGGGCTCCAAAATGAGTCAATCCAGTACTTAACCATAGTTATTTGGTGCGTATTATGAGAAACTTGGGGCTTATGAAAAATTTGGCAGCTGATTTTGAGCCAATTTTCATTGAACCGTGGAAAAACCTTGCGAAAAAAAAACTACAGGTTGAAGCTGACTGTAGTGATTCTGTGTCGGATCCATGGGATCCATTTCGAATTTCGCCTGCAAGTTCTTCGCCAAGGACATCGCCATACCTTGGCCGCCAAAAGATCGAATTTCTTTTGGCGCTCTAAGGGACATAGAAAGTCCTGAAAAAAAAAACTCCCTTGACGCCATGGTTTTTCGATGGCCCATAGAAATAGATGCTTTACCATGGTTTACCATGGTTTACCTATTAAAAATGGGTGGATCTTTCCATGGAAAAAAACGTCAGAAAGTCCGTTTGAATTTTTGAATCCGTCCATCCATCTATCCATCCTGCCCCTGACTCGATCGCTGCGTGCCGCTGGGATACTTCAGAGCCAAACCTGCAGCGCGCCCTGAGGCTCGGTACGCTCCCTCAACCTCGCTAAGGCCGGCCTCAGCCACGAAAAGCACCAGAAAAGCACCAGATTCCTGGTGTTTCATGTTTCTTCACAACCAAATTCATCCAAATTCTACCAATCATCTTGGAGCCCCTTTCAGACTTTGTGCCCTACCAGAGTGTCCTTGGGTGAAGTCTCGGCCACCACATCAGGGACGGGCGCCTAAGACGCATGGCTTTTTTGGGGCTTTTCTTAAGAGAAAATCCAGAGGAAACCGGGTTTTTGTTGCCGCCAATTGGATGGAATAGGAGCCATGTTACGATGTTGTTTTTTTACTGCACCCTGGTTGGTAGAATTGATTTTGTGTAAACATGTTTGAAAGTGTGCACACACAGAAATATATATATATGTGTATGTATGTATATGTATGTATACATACATGCATGCATGCATATATATAAATACATGCATACATATATGTACATACAAATATGTACATACAAATATGTACATACATATATATATATATATGCATATATATATATGTATATATATATATATGTATAAATATATGTATATATACTATACATATATATATATACATATGTATCTATATGTGTATATATATACATATGTATTTATGTATATATATATATATGTATATATATATGCATATATATATATATGTAAATGTATGCACACATATAAATAGAAACATATATATATATACACTTATGTGTATATATATATATAATGTGCAAATATATACGTGTATATATATATATATATGTGTGTGTGTGTATGTATACAAATATATATATATATATGTATATACACATATTATATGCGTGTATACGTGTGTAGTATATATATATATATGTGCGTGAAATCACTTGCCAAACAATATTGCATATTGCTAATATGTGTGTGTGTGTCGGAGGTTGGGGTATACTAACCCCATTTATGGCCATGTTATTTAAGTGCCATGCTGATTAACTAACAAGTTACTAGTAGGATGGAATGGGTAGCAACGACCACCGAATCCATTGGGTATCCTCCCCCCAACTATTCCCCAATTATCCCATTAGAATCGTCAACTCTGAGAAAAAAACTGACTGCGAACCGCCCCAAGGGATATTATTACATATTATTACCCCTTTTTCTGTCGATACATCATTATCCATAACTATCAACTATTTAGTTAGAATATGTTAGAATATAAGGTTATAAGATGTTATAAGTATTTGATTATATAACTAGCATATTTAACCATGGTTTGATTACCTAACATAGTTTTCATGTCATTGTCTAAAAGCAAAATCGGCTGCGACCCGAAATCCCACACCGAGCTGGGGTCGCGACCAACGCACCCGTGGGCAATCGCCTCCAGAGCGTCTTCCTGGCGAAGTCACAACGGAGGACCCGACCAGCTGAGCTCAGCCCTGCGACCAGCTGGGATGCCGGGCAAATCGCTACAAAGGCGGCAGCCAATCATGCAGAAGAAATCGCGACCTCGGTGTAGATGGCGACCTGCGACCTTGAGTTATACCAATCGTTTTGATCAACATGAATTTTGTGATGATTGAATCTATTGATCATGGTTATTGATCAATATTATATCAATATTATATCAATATGTCATGAAATTTCTCAGTTGCAAATCCGACTTTCCCTGCGCAAAAACAATACGATCCAGTTCAGTTTCTCAGAGGGTGGCGAGGGCCACCATAGTCTTCTGCAACCTGGCACAGCTGAGATTCTGTTCCCATAGTAGCGCCCCCCACACTGTTGAAACTCAGATCGGATGATCGGGCCATCTGTTTTCTATGAATGGCTACAGCTGAGAATCCCAGGTTGGTGCAAAATAAGAAACATTAAGAAACAGCATAACTGTGAAGCAAATCCAAGCAAATCCTCTTGAAAGACCGTGTTGCTGTGCGATGAAGTGACACCACTTCAAGCTCCACACGCAACGCTTTCGACGCTTTTCTCACTCCAATGGCCGAGGACCGGTCCGCAGAGGCAGCAGCAAATATGCTGAAAATGTCGATCCTGAGGCAACTGGGCAACTGGGCGAGGGGAAAACCGAGCCAGTTGCCTCTGCTGTGAGCATGGTCCAAGTGGTAACGTTTATGGTCAGTGCCGGAATTATAGAACGGAAGTTGAGGAGTACGAAGGTACGGTTATTTACCGTACCCTGTTGTTCTATAATTCTGTTTTCCTCGGAAGGTATGAGAAAAAAAATGTATCTGATCTTCCTCCTAATTTTTTTCGTCGTTCTATAATTCTTGTCGGAGCGCTGTTGTTCTATAATTCTGTTTTCCCCATTTTTCTCACATTTCCCATTTTCGTTCTATAATTAATTTTCCCCGGGCCCCGTTCTATAATTAATTTTTCCGTCGAACGGAAAAATTAACTATAGAACGGAAAAATTAATTATAGAACGGAAAAATTACTTATACTGTAGGTGCCGGAATTATAGAACGGAAGTTGAGGAGTACGAAGGTACGGTTATTTACCGTACCCTGTTGTTCTATAATTCTGTTTTCCTCGGAAGGTGTGAAAAAAAAACGTATCTGAATTTACTCCTAACTTTTTTCGTAGTTCTTGTCGGAGCGCTGCTGTTCTATAATTCTGTTTTCCCCCATTTTTCCCACATTTCCCATTTTCGTTCTATAATTAATGTTTCCCGGGCCCCGTTCTATAATTAATTTTTCCGTCAAACGGAAAAATTAACTATAGAACGGAAAAATTAATTGTAGAATTATAGAACCTCTTCCGGGGGGTCCCAGAAATCCTATAAAATCACCATGAAATCTAAGAAAATCACCGTGAAATCCCATAAAATTACCATGAAATCCCATAAAATCACCATGAAATCTTATAAAATCACCATGAAATCTAAGAAAATCACCTGGTAAATGTGGGAAAAATGGGGGAAAACAGAATTATAGAACGGAAGTTGAGGAGTACGAAGGTACGGTTATTTACTGTACCCTGTTGTTCTATAATTCTGTTTTCCTCGGAAGGTAGAAAAAAAACGTATCTGAATTTACTCCTAACTTTTTTCGTCGTTCTATAATTCTTGTCGGAGCGCTGTTGTTCTATAATTCTGTTTTCCCCCATTTTTCCCACATTTCCCATTATCCTCATGTTATCCTCATTTTATCCTCGTTATCTCATCAAATCCTCATTTTATCATCATTTTATCTTCATTTCCTTATCAAATCCTGATTAAATCCTCATTAAATCTTCATTTTATCCTCATTTCCTCATCAAATCCCCATTAAATCCTCATTTTATCCTCATTTTATCCGCGTTTTATTATCATTTCCTCATCAAATCCTCATTTTATCTTCATTTTATCCTCATTTTATCCTCATTTTATCCTCGTTTCCTCATCAAATCGTCATTTTATCTGCATTTTATCTTCATTTTCTCATCAAATCCTCATTAAATCCTCATTAAATCTTCATTTTCTAGATTGTATATGTACAAATATGCAGTAAATATCATGTCAGTGCCAGAAATTATAGAACGGAGCCAGGAGGACAAAAGTACGGTAAAATACCGTACCTTTGTCCTCCTCCCCGTTCTATAATTAAATTTCCCGACTCCGCTCCGAATCGGAACCCGGAGGAGGACAAAGGTACGGTATTTTACCGTACTTTTGTCCTCCTGGCTCCGTTCTATAATTCTGGCACTGACTGTAAACGTATATGAAAAAGAGGATCATGTGGAAAACCATGGAAAACCATCACTGCCATAAACCCATAAACCTATCATTTGGGGATGGTAAACATAGCACTCATTGATGGCCATTGATGGGGGATAAATTATGATCACCAAGCCCAGTTGCGGCAAAGTGGGCACCTCTCATCGCGCATTGATCGCAAACAGGGGAGACATACAGAACAGTGCCGACATGGCAGGACAATCACATTCCTGCGCCGATCAAAGCACACCATGCATTCCTGGGCGGCGGTCAAAGGTCTGGTTACATGCTCAATCCCAAAATATGGATGTGGTATGATACAACTATAGGCCTATATAATATAGGTTATATATTTCCGACCCAGGTTGGATATTGAATCCCTAAACATGGATATAAATATGGATAAACGTGGTTACCGTGCTCCAGGGCAATGCTCTTTGGTGAAATCTGGAGCTTGAAAGCTGGGTCAGAAAAGCCAGCAAAAATCCTCTGAAACCTGATGTAATGTTAGGATAGATCAATGTATTGGGATATGTATATTATACATATACATATAGACATATATATATATATGTTTGTGTGTCTGTATGTATATATTGAATGATTGTGTCAGGCATGGCCTTTTCGGGGTCACAGACTTCAAAATTTTGGAAAAAACCGGGCCGAGGCGCCACGTCCTCGCCCTCCATGCCAAAGATTCCCATGAGTTTTCGAGGGACGCCACGGGTGAGCACCACCTGCTGCATGACCTCGACGCTTGAAGCCTGCAGCTCAGCCTTGGCTGGGAAGCTGGTGGAATGAAAGCATGACGCGAAACATCTGAAGGCACCAAATATTGAAAAAAAAACATGCTTTGCATATAGAATGTAAAAGATTGACTTGAAGCATCTTGCTAAAACACACTCTTGACATACAACAAAGAATAGGAGGATATTGTGGGAACCTCCAATCGCTGGTCCAAGCGTCGAAGGTCAACATTTGTGTCACTTCGGAAGCTGTCCAGAGGCAAATTACCAAAGGAATCCTGGCAGAAACTTCGAGCTTTCTCGGAGGTTTCTTCGAGGGATGATGGTGATATTGGAGAAATTTGGAGAATGGAGAATGCCCCAAGTCATCCCAAGTCCACTGGAAGTGACTTGGAGTGTAGACTAGACAACCATTTCGGCGAAGAAACGCAGCCATGACATGCCATGACGCCCCCATCCAATAACTCGTGGGCCCCTTTTGGCCTGTCAGCTGAGGCTTCTTCATCCAGACTGGTCTTGATGGTGGACAAATCTTCAACTGGCTAGGCGGCTAGGCGGCAACCGGTGGCCCTTTGCCCCATGAGGACGTCACGTAACTTGGAAGCCCAAAAAGCCACCTCCACTGGTGCCCAATTTAAAGAAACATCTCATGACTCAGCTCTGCTCAGCAATTCTAGTAAAACATTGGTTCCTACAAGCATACAACTGCCAGGCCTTTCGAAGAGTTAGACTAGATTCTAGAATCCTTCAAGCAAAGACTCATGATGCTATGAATCGAAGTCAGGCAAATTACATCAATCTACCCTCCAGCAATCAAACGTGGCTAGCTGGGAGATTTGTGAAAAAGTGGATGTTGAAAAAGCTAGGAAAATCATCTATAAATGCTGCTTGGAGGCTTTCACCGTACTTCAGGGTTCATTCCCCCGGACACTACCTTATTGTTATCATGATGAGTAATGATATCATAATATATATATATAAGATTGGGTATAATCACCCTCTGGTAGACTAACATAGCTATTGAAAATCACCATCTTGAAGTTCGGTAAATCAACTCTTTCTATGGGGCCATGTTCAATAGCAAACTGTTAGTCATTACCCGAGGGTATACATTGTGATTGATGATATCACACACATATATACATATATATATTATACATATATATATATTATCCATATATTATATATACATATATATATATATATTATACATATATATATATATGACATATATATATATATAGTATGCATATATATTATACATATATATATATAGTATACATATATATATTATACATATATATTTTACATATATATTATACATATATATTATACATATATATATATATATATATATATTATACATATATTATATACATATATATATATATTATACATAATATACATATATATATATTATACATATATTATATACATATATATATATATTATACATAATATACATATATATATATATATATATTACATATATATATATAGTATACATATATATTATACATATATCATATATATATATATACATATTAGATCATATTAGATTGGGTATACATAAAATTACATCCATAAATTCCAATCCCCTGCCCTGATTTCTGGTCGACTCTTCCCCGCCTAGGGTGATCTCTTGCCCACATCCCGCTGGCGTTGCCTCGCCACCGGGACCCAAACCAGTCCACGGCGCCTGCGAGTCCTGGTTCCGGCAGCAGGCGCCAGTCCAAAGTCATCACCCGAAAAAGTGGGACAAACATTGGGAAATATTGGGAAAATATAGGGAAATATTGGGAAAATATAGGGAAATATTGGGAGAATATAGGGATATATTGGGAAAATATAAGGAAATATTGGGAAAATATAGGGAAATATTGGGAAACAATATGGGAAAACCTGGGAACATGCGGAAAAAAACATATGAACATGAGGAAAACAAATAGTGAACAGAATAATGGGAACATCATAGGATATACCCTCTGGTAAACGTTTACAAAAAACGAACTGGAAAGATCCACCATGCTATTTTCATGGGAAAATCCACTATTTCGACTGTGCCATTTTCAATAGCTTTTTGTATGTGCTACTCTCCGGATCCCTCCGGGAAGATTTTGCACTGGTGATATGCCAAAAAATCGAGGGTGATTTTCCATGTCAAACGGTTAAATTGCTGGAGACAATGTGAACATATATAATCATATATAGTATTAATATATATTGAATATATGCCCAAACATATAACATGCTGACATTGAAAAAAAAAATATATATATATATATACCCCCCCAAAAAAAAAAAAACGAAAAAATGTCATCTTCAGCAAATCATGAGGAATCCTCTTGGGTCAGCTGTTGAATCAGCTCATCACAGTGACAGCGACCCCAGAAGAGCTGGACCCTAAAGGGCTGCAGGCTGTCCACCCTGAAGCAAAGTCGAAGTTTCCTGGTGCATTTGGGCCAATAAAAAACGACTAATCATTCCCATCCCCCCTTCGTATCAATAACACCCCCTATATAAATGGTCCCAAAAATGTGTGAATCCCCTATATGCACCATGGTTTCAGGGGGTGTTTGATGTTGGGAGGAAGGGATTATTTAAAAACAGGTAAAAAAGAACTACTTTCTTCGAGTGATCCCCACCAATCGAAATTCTATCTTACATATCTATTCTGACATTCTATTTGGCATTCTATCTGACACATGTTCTGACATTCTATCTGGCATACATTCTGACATTCTATTTGGCATTCTATCTGACATATCTTATGACATTCTATCTGGCACATGTAGCTGGCATATCTTCTGACATTCTTTCTGGCATTCTATCTGAAATATCTTCGGAGATTCTTTGTGGTCGAGGTCTGGCTGGGCTCACTTTCATCCAGCGGTTGCTCTTCGGGTCCGGCGGGGACCACTGCGATCTAGCGCTTGCAGTTGAGGTCCGGCGGGGACCACTCTGATCCTGGGCTTGCTGCCGCGATCACGAGCTTGCAGTTGAGGTTCGGCGGAGGAGGAGGAGGAGGAGAAGACGGAGGAGGAGGCCAGCTGACATAAAATCTAACAAATGTTCCGATGTCACATATCCACCATGCCACCATAGCTGTGATACACAACAGAAACCCTGTGTGATGTTGACTGTCTCAAGCATCAATCCAGCATGAGATCACTTCAAGTAATTTGTAGTAACTTGCTGTAAGATGTTGCCTGTCTCAAGCGTCTTTGCAAACAGCTCCAAAGGTACAGAAGTGGAAATGTCTCTGTCCACCCCAGTGACTCTGTCATCTGTTCAAACTGATTGCTTCAAACTTTGCCACCTGCAAAGTAAGAAGTGGCATTGCCCCGGTCACTCTACCACACACGCGCGAGTTTGCAAGTAATATATAACATACTTGTCTGACATTCTTTCTAACTTTCTTCTGCACATTCTTTGTCCCATATCTTCCTACATGAGGTCCGGCAGGGAACACTTGGCGTGGATACTCGCGGTTGAGGTCCGGCAGGGAACACTGGGCGTGGATGGTCGTGGTTGAGGTCCGGCAGGGAACACTGGGCGGGGATGGTCGTGGTTGAGGTCCGGCAGGGAACACTGGGCGTGGATGGTCGTGGTTGAGGTCCGACAGAGAACACTGTGCGTCGAGGGTCGTGGTTGAGCAGGAGGAGGAGGAGAGGAGAGGAGGAGAGGAGCAGGCAACTGACATAAAATCTAACAACCCTCACCTGGCAGGTGGGGAACAATAGGAGAGTCAAGTCCATTTCATCCCAGGAAAAGAATGAAACCAGGCTACTCTCCATCCACAATCTCCGATCTCAGACTTTCCGGATGAAGATGTGCCAAGACATAGAGCTGAGCAATCTCCCGTGCTGGGACACTTGGCCGAATGCGCAGCAGTTGGTTGAAATGCTGTCGGATGATGTGCTGCAAGTCCGTGGCATAGATGCTCATTCGGTCCAGCAACAGTCCGCGTTCGGAGCGACGCATGCGCCAGTGGATGATCTGGGCCTTGAAGATGCGATAAAGCACTTGGAGAAACCACGCGAACATCGCCAGCATCAGCAGAGCAACCCATAGGTTGTGAAGGCTTAGAGGGATGCCACCAGGCTCCATCAAATCCATGGCTGGCGAAAGCGAAAGATCATCCCAGCCGCTTAGTACTCTTAGTACATGCAGCTTTGGGCCATCATATGGGTGGATATCGATCAGAAATGCATGCACATCTGTCGCGGAGAAACAGTGAACTGGCATGGGCCATGGGCAACCAAGGAAGGTGGCTGGCGCGCCTCATTCTTGAAGCAAATGCTTAAAGGATTTCGAAGCTCCTGAGATTTCTGCGGAGCCGACTTCCCAAAGAATGGAAATGGATGAGTCTGGAAATGGCCCCATTCCAGGTTAATCATCCTTTTCCATCCTTTTCCATCCTTTTCCATCCTTTTCCATCCTTTTCCATCCTTTTCCATCCTTTTCCATCCTTTTCCTATTTATGGAAAATATGCAAAACGATGATTTATTTAGGGTAATATCATGTAATATCATCATCATTTCATCCATTCTTATCCCAGTCCTCCACGCTGAGCCTCATGAGCCCAGTGAAGCTGTTCTTCAAGAAGTCCTGACCATGGAAGGTGACGATCCATGGCGAAAATCAGAGCCTGTTGATCACAACACTCCAATGGATATCCAATATCCAATGGATCCCACAGGAACTAATCACCTGTCTTTTCAGAGCTACGAGTGCTGGACCTTTCGCACCCCTTTTGACATGAAGTCACCCCACTGCAAGGCACAACGCGAATAATAAAGTCACCCCACGAAATCCAGAAGTCACCCCACCATTGGCAAATCACCATGGCACAACATGCCCAAAAGTTTAATCAAACTTTGTGATATCGGTCTAGAATCTCGTCGGGGGAAAGAACGAGACCTAAAACGAGACCTCTGGGAGACAAAACGAGACCTACTATAGGCACTCTACTCATGTACTCTCCTCTCCTCTCCTCTCCTCTCCTCTCCTCTCCTCTCCTCTCCTCTCCTCTCCTCTCCTCTCCTTCAGGATGAAAAAAACCTGCGGGAAACATCCTAGTCATAGCACTTGAGTACAAGCCACATCATCGCAGTAAGGGTTATTGAAGTTTGAAGCCCTTTGCCCCATCTGTATAGGGCATTCCTTCTTGCGCCATTAAAAGGATTCAAATTAAAAGGCTTCAAATTAATTTGCGTTTAGTGATCTTTTTGATGATAGTGGGCAATCTACAGAAACGACCCTGCAGGAATAAGGATTCCCCAAATGAATCCCAGTCCCAGTCCAAAGCATCGCGCCACTGCGATTTGCATCAAAGACTCAACATGCCCCAAAACATATGACTAATCTGGGATGAGGCGTCTAACAGCACTTCCCATAGGCACGACGGTTACGAGACGACTTCTCGTAAAATGACACGAGTAAGGTCTACTACCCAGTACACTAGCTACCCTTGTTCCATTCCCTCCATCGCATCCAGGCCCCGGCCTCACCCCGATCCACCTCGACTCTAGCCTGGCTGGACGGCTGGGCATAGCTGGGCATAGCTGGGCATAGCTGGGCATAGCTGGGCATAGCTGGGCATAGCTGGGCATAGCTGGGCAGCTGCTTCCATGGCCTTCCGGTCCTTCTTCTCTGGTGGTAGGAGATCCCTGCAAATCCTCACAGATTCTCACAGATTCTGATGGATTCTGTGATGATCTGATGATCAGAGCTGAAGCTGCTGGCTGCACATGGAAAATCGCGGCACTCTGTGGCACCGACCGGAGTCTCTCGTCTAGAGATAATGCACCATAGACCTTCCACATCCGGGCGCAGATGATGCTTCTTGCAGTCTGTGGCCCCTTTGATTGGAACATCGAGGGATCGTCACCCCATGCGATTTTTCGGTCTCCAGGAAATGCCTTCAGTGTCCTTCAGTGTCCTTCAGCGTCCTTTGAAAACCAGAAATCAGCAGAAAGGCTCAGCCCAGAGCTCGCCGCAGCAGCACACGGGCGCAAAGCAATTCATCCTGGACGCGGGGGATGATACAGTCCACACTTTAGTATGTTTTAGTGAATGCATGTGAATGCTATTTGGGGCACCCTCAGGCCCTCAGTTTTGCGGACCTTCCCCACTTCCCCAGTTGTTCATCGTTTTTCATACGTCCTCCTGGCTGCAAGCAGCTGCCTTGCACCAAGCTTCACAACTGCCTGGTGACCACAAAGACCACGGTGATTGCGGACCACAACGACAACGTCACAGCGGTGCATGTTGGGTTTTTGTTGGGTCGGTCTGGCCTTCCAGAAGCGACTTCAAACGGCCCATGAGCATTTTGGGCAGCTCCGGCTTTTCCCAATCCAACCTGAGGCACTGAGGCATGCCGATGGCCTGTTGGGGAAGCTGGAAATGGCAGCACAAACAAATGGAAAGACAATCACAAATATCTGTAACATTCTGTAACTATGCGTGCATGTGCGCGTGCGCAGATATACAACATATACATTATATATATATATGTATGTGCATATATTGTGTGTGTGCGCGCGTGGAAATATATGGAAATATAGAAAAATATTGTAGATTATATTAGATTATAGAATCCCCCAACAAATCAACTCCATCAACCATGGCCTTTCCTACACGCCAAGCTCCCACACAGCGGGGCCACAGAGGCAAGGTCCCGCAAGCGAAGGAGCCCAGTCTGCCTCCATAGTTGGAATCCTTTCTGGTGATCAAAATTGGCAAAAAATCCATGGTAAATCCAATTGGAAAAGTCGGTTGCAGACCAGAAAAAAAACAACTTCCCTGTGAGAAAACAATGGGCCAAATCTTACTGCCATGCAGTGTCCGAGGCAATGGCAATCTCTTGGTGAAGGCTTCTTCGAAGTCCTCTACAACAACCTCAGCCAAAGCGTCACGCAAAGCTGCCATGGACACGCGCAACGAGTAGAAGCTGCAAATCCCTGCGCTCTGAGATTCAAACTGGCAATGAAGCCGTTGACGTATCCCTGGACGGCAGAAGAATCAAACTGGCCAAAGCTGGAACAGCGACTTAGACTTAGAGTTCTGGCAGTGTATTGGTTCCATTGGTTCCATGTTTTACAGCGAGACGAGACCACTGCCACCCACAAGGTCCCTAAGATCGCTATCCCTGGGGTCCCGGTCGGAAAAGTGAAGACTTTTGGATCAGTCGATCCTTCATCCTTCGTCCTCAGAGGTTGACCATTTTCAATAGATGACATGACTTTTTCTTCGTGGCAGACCTATCAACCATATTGTGTTTTTTTAATCCATAGCCATGTTAAATTACAGGGTAAATCATGATGTCCCACAGCTTTTCCCTTCAAAAACCACTCCATAGCCATGCTGAAAAATCCTCAGGGCCGCTCGGTAACCGCTTGCCATTCACATCTCGGGCGATGACATGACGGGGGCCTCGAGCGGGTGTTGCTGGAAAAAACTGGTCCCAGTTGAACAAAGATGATCGAAAAGTCACTATAAATTACTACACATATCACTAATATTCACTAATGAATGTTCATGAATATTCATGAATGAAGCTGTTTTGGAAGATGTTGTCTGTATAGTTCACATTCTCTTGGCAAGGTTCCCAGAATCAATTTCAATGACCAGGTTCGCTGACAAGCTCTCCATAGCCTCAGATCAGGCCTCAGTTTCTGCTGAGACCAAATCATCCAAATGTGAAGCACCAAAGGTAGATGATGGGGGATGGGTATGGCTCCAAGTGTACGAAATCCACGAAATCCTGGAGAAAGTGGGACTGCTGATGACTGCCGATCCTTGACTCACCAATACCCCCAACCCCTGTCAAAGTTGCAAGGTTTCACATTCAGAGCCCCCAGGATCCACGTGTCGAGCCGCTCCGCTGCCAAACTCATCTCCAACATTGGCGCTTGATGCATCACTGGGTCAGCACCTCGAACCGGCTGACAGATCTGAAAGATGGAGTGGCCTGCAACTAACATCAACTAACTGGCCGCAGTTGAAATTGCTTCGCTGCTTCCGGCTTCGGTCTCAAACTTTGACCATCTTTCAGCCTTTTCCAAAGCGCTTGGTTTCCAACTTTCAGGAGTTGTGCTCTCGGTTTTGCTCTCAGGCACACCTTGGCTCAGTGATCTCCTCTTAGGGCCTACCTTGTTGGTCTTGAAATTATGGGAAACCATGGGAAATCTC